AATTTTAAAGTCTAAGGCAATTTACCTATCACTTAAATTTATAAGATATTCAAATGGAACTGAATGTCTACCCAAGGAAAATCAATATCTCCATAAGGCACTCAGAAGTTAGTTCAGAATTTCTACTGCCACATACCGCTTACTAAATATGGGGGAGAAAAATCTTTCCTCTTCGAACAGAATCTAACAAAGCTACAAATTAACAGGAATAGATGATAAAGGGCTGCAATGGAGTCATTATTTTTTACGTGTCTTAGGTTAGTATGAAAGATAACAAATGGTATGAGAACAAAGACAGGCGGGCTACATCTGGTGTTTGCTAGTAGTCATGAACATTCTTTTCCTAGTAAGGAAAGAGCTGAGAGCAGTAAGTGCTCCAAGGTTAGAAGGCAGAACAGAGAAGAGTAGTAAGAAAGTGACTGTAAGCATCATCTATAATGGTCACAGCCAAGACTAAACCACAGTAAAATTTAGAATGCTGTACAACTTGTACTTTTATTTTCCTTCTGAGGTAAGTTCTCATTATGTAGCTCTGACTGGCCTTGAATTCATAACTGTCTGTACTGTCTCCTGAATGCTGGGACTAAAGACGTGCAACACCATACCCTGCTACTGGATAGGCACATTACAAGAAGCAGATTTGGCATAACAATTACCTTAATATGAGGTCGGTGAGATGGCTCAGCAAGTAAAGGCAATTGTTACATAAGCATGACAATCTGAGTCCAATCCTCAAATCCCACATAAAAGTAGAAGGCATAGACTCCAGAAAGGCAGTATCTCTCCACACATACAACATGCACACTCACTCTAAACATTTAAAAATTAAAACTAATCGCAGAGTTAAAATATAAAACTTCTGGGGCTGGGGAGATGGCTCAGTGGTTAAGAGCACTGACTGCTCTTCCAGAGGACCCGGATTCAATTCCCAGCACCCACATGGCAGCTCACAACTGTCTGTAATTCTAGTTCCAGGAGACCCAACACTCATGGCAAAACATCAACGTACATAAAATGTAAATAAATATTTAAATATATATATACATATATATATAAAAAACTTCTAGAAGTTATAGAAGAAAATACAGGTGATTTGATCAAACTGGATTTGATCATCACTTTTCGATACAATAACAAAGGCTCAAGTTCACAAAACAAAGGATTAATAAAACTGGCATACATTCAAATTAAAAACTTCTGCTTTGTAAAAAGAAACTGCCAGAGTCAGGTCTGGAGAGTTAGCTCAATTGGTACAAGAGCTTGAAAAAACCTAGACAATGTGAGTTCCGATCTCTGAAATTCATAAAAAAGCCAGATCTGGACGCACTTATCTACAATCCCAGTGTTACTAAGAAAATAGAGGTAATGACAGAGGAACTGCCCAGAAGTTTCAGGGTAGTGGCAGAAATAAAAGACATTTTGCCTCAAAAGCTATCCTCTGGCCTCCACTTTGTATGTAGCATACATGAACATATACTTATATTCACAACCGCCCCCACACATACATTTGGAGTGGGCAAGACTGCCAAGAAGGGGGAACTACAGTTTTTGAGAAAATATATATAAAAAAACTTATCAAATAAAATATTATAATCCAGGGCTAGCCGGGCGATGGTAGCGCATGCCTTTAATCCCAGCACTTGGGAGGCAGAGGCAGGTGGACCTCTGTGAGTTCAAGGCCAGCCTGGTCTACAAGAGCTAGTTCCAGGACAGGCTCCAAAGCTACAGAGAAACCCTGTCTCCAAAAAATCCAGGGCTAGAGAGCTGACTGAGCAGTAAGAGCATTGGCTGCTCTTGTAGAGGACCCAGATTCAATTCCCAGCACCCATAACAGTGGCTCATAATCATCCATAATCCCAGTCCCGGGGGTATCCAATGCCCTCTTCTGGCATATGTGGGCACCAAGTATACACGACACAGAGACATACGCTCAGAAAAAACTTACATACCCATAAAATAAAAAAACAATTTTTTTTTAAAAAAAGAGAGAGACTACTATTCAAAATGAACAAAAAAACCTTCAGGAGGCCAATTTAAAAAAAACAAACAACAAAAATGGGCCAAGAACCAGGGCACACTTCTCACCAAATGACATATTCAAATAGAAAATAAGCATGCAGAAAGAGAAATATAGAAAGCATGCAATCAGGAAGATACAAATTACAACAGTGACATACTGATATGCACCTATTAGAATGGCCAACACTTAAATGACTTAGATGACTGATAAATAACACAAACTGATGATAAGGGTATAAAGCAACAGCAGTGCTATTCACTGCAGCAGAGTGGCAACTTGTTACTAAATTTAACATACTCTCGCCATAATCAAGCAGTCACACTCTGTAAATTTACACAGACAACATATACCCACAGAAAAATACAAAGTTCATATTTTCACTCATAATTGCTAAAACATGAAGTAACAAATGCATCTTTTAATTGGTGATAGTTATATGCAAATGCTATTTCATTTTACAAGAAAATGTACCATACGCCATAAAAATGCACAGAGAAATCTCTACACACATTACTAAATGGAAGATGACTGGAGTCAGTGAGGTGCTTTGGTTGGAAAACACCCATCCACCAACCTTGACAGCTTGAGTTTGATCCCTAAGACCACATGGGTAGAAGAGAATCAATTCCTGTAAGATGTCCTCTGATCTGTATAGAAATGTCATGACACCAGTGCAGGTGTGAATGCAGGCATGTAAATGCACACATTCAAAAAAAATTTTTTTGTTGTTTTCTTCGAGGCAAGTTTTCTCTGTTTAACCGATCTAGCCATCCTGGAATTTGTTCTGTAGACCAAGCGGGCCTCAACTCAGAGAACCACCTGTCTCTGTCTTCCAAAGGCAAGGTTTAATGTTGTGTGCCACCATGCCCGGCCCCAAAAGAAATTTTTATGCAATTTTTTAAAACAATGCCCATTTGATGCCAGGCAGTGGTGGTGCACACCTTTAATCTCAGCACTCAAGAGGCAGAGACAAGTGGATCTGTGACTTTGGGTCCATCAGTCCTACAGAGCTAATTCCAGGACAGCCAAGGCTGTTACAGAGAAAACCTTTCTCGAAAATCAAAAAAATTAAAAATAAGTAAATAAAAACAATGCCCATTTGAATACTTTATGACAATCTCAGAAAGGCAAAATTATGAAGACAGAAAAGATGAGAAGTTAGCCAGAAGACACTGTAGACAGAATATGAGCCTACTTAGTGGTGTTGGGAAATATTATTTTAAGGTGTTACTTTTGTTTATGCTGCATTTGTTTAACTCTGTGAAGTTGTGATTCTTTGTCTGTCTAAAACACCTGATGGTCTAATAAAGAGCTGAATGGCCAACAGCAAGGCAGGAACAAGATAGACGGAGCTGCCAGGCATAGAGTAAAAAGAGGAGCAAAGAGAAAACAGAGAGGAAGATGTCAGGGCCCAGCCACCCAGCCAGCCAAGAGTAAGAGTGAAAGTAAGATATACAGAAGTAAGAGAGAAAGAGAAAGAGCGAGAGCGAGAGCGAGAGAGCGAGAGAGCGAGAGCACATAGATAAAAAGTAGTCAGGATAATTTAAGAAAAAAGTGCAAGAAATGAGCCAAGCTAAGGCCGGGCATTTCTAATTAACAATAAGCTTTCGTGTTTGATTTATTTGGGAGCTGGATGGTAGGTCCCGAAAAAGCAAAAAGAAGAAAACATCACACAACTTAGGGCAGTGAAAATACTCTGTACGGAATACATGTGCATAAATGTCTTTGTATCTGTCCCAAGTCTTAGAAAGTACACTACCAAGATAGAATCCCAAAGTAAACAGAACCTGGGTGATAAAAATGTGCTAGTGCAAGTTACCAAGTATATCTAACAAGTGTAGAACTGATAAAAAAGAAAAAACATGAGACAGACTTAACTGCAAAAACAGTGTCCAGCCTGTAATTTGAGCACTCAATTGGCAGAGGGAGGATGATTAGTCACCAGAATACCAGCCCAGCCTAGATATCCAACTGTAAACCAGTGCTACCTGGTGAAACCCTGTCCCAAAAATAAAAGAACAAAAAGTATATATTCAAGAAAGCACAAAACAAACCCTGATGTGAGCAAGTCTGTATGTACATAGGTCAGAGTAGGAAACAAATGGAAACACCATACTTTACAATCAATTGGAACCTAAAAGTGTTCATCAAAAGGACATTTTATGCCTGACCAACCTCTACATTCTGAGGATTTACACTATGGTTCTTATGCTTATTGCTTATTATATTTCCTTATTACAGCTCCCAATATACCCCTCTTTCTACTTCGTGGTTTTTGGTTTTGCTTTTACTAATCCAAAATCCAGTGATATCCTCATATTCTTTCTTTCTTTCTCTCTCTCTCTCTCTCTCTCTCTCTCTCTCTCTCTCTCTCTCTCTCTCTCTCTCTCTCTCTCTCACTGAGACCAGGTACCTCAATGAACTTGAAGCTCGCAGTGCTGGCTAGGCTGTATGGCCCCTTTACTGGTGTTATAAATTTGTAGGTACTAGAGATCCAAACTCAGATCTCTATGCTTATACAGCATATATTAGTCACAGAACAATCTACGAGCCCCTAAAAGACAAGTATATAGAGAGACATCTATTTAGAGATATTTTTATATCAATAGAAATTTTTATTTTTTATTTTGGTTTTCAATACAGGGCTTCTCTCTGTAACAGTCCTAGATATCCTGGAATTCACTTTGTAGACCAGACTGGCCTCAAACTCACGGAGATGCACTTGCCTCTGCCTCCCCTGTGCTGGGATTAAAAGTCTGCACCACCATACCCAGGTAGGAAAGTATATTTCTGAAAATTCCTCGTTCACAGAGTCCAAGTGGTCCATGGTGGGTGGCTACTGCGCTGTGTCCGACAGATTAAAAACAAACACATCCACCCCTGCAGGAAACTACTGCAGAGCACTAGGTTAAAAGGGAAAGAAGCAGCTGATGGTCTGAGAATAGCAATAAAGCACTGCCCTGCAGCAGTCAGAGATTACCTTTCCTCTTCCACCTGCTCTTTCTCCCCTCTTTGTTGCTGCCACCATCACTGCTGCTGCTGTTCTCAGAGCTCTGAGAATCTGACTGACCATCACTGCTTTCTTCTGAACCTTCTGACAGTTCTTTCACTCCATCTGGCACATCTTTCTGAAAATGTAGGCATCCTGTTAGGATTGTTACCATTTTAGCAAATAGAAACTAAATTTCTAATATATAAAGCATTAACTTAATTAATTGATAAATTCTTATTATAAAATAGTAAAACCACAAATATTTGATAATATCCTGATTTTTTGGGTCAAACAAATCAATTTTCCATCTACATTCAAAAGATAAAAATCATACACAACACTTGTATGCAGGTACAACATATGTTTTAATTACACCAAAACTGGTAGATATAAATCCAAGTAAAAGATGTAATGTTCAGGTTTAAAAAGCTAGTAAGAATTTTGTTAGATATATTTGGGTTTGTGTGTGTAGGTACCCCGTGTATTCTGAATTCAATTACAGAATTAAAGTCAGGAGAACAAGATTATCACATTATTTTCACCTAACTAGGTCCTCAATATTGATTAAAGAGTTAACAGCAAGAAAAGGAGTTTTTGTTTGCATTTGTTTTTTTGACACAGGGTTTCTCTGTGTATTAGTCCAGGCTGGCCTCAAACTCACAGGGATCCGCCTGCCTCTGCCTCCCAAGTGCTGGGATTAGAGGTGTATACCACCACCGCCCGGCATGTTTTGTTTTGGTTTTTGGTTTTTGGCTTTTAAAGAATCATATCACTTTCTTTCATTTCAGTTTTGAATAATGAGAATGTTAACTAGAAAGGATAACTATGATAACTACATATAAGAAAAATAGGGTAGTAGAATATGAGGAACTAGGGAAGTAGGGCTTTCTGGCTTTGTCTTCTCCCAATTACACAGCCTTAGTCTAAAGTAATCTCACATAGCTTAATTCCAGTTTCTAAAGTGGAATAATAGTACCTACCGTAAATAGTCACATAAAAATTAAACGAACTAATTAATATTAAATGTTTACAATAGTGCTTTATGAGAACTCAATGTTATTTACTATGCATTTACATAGTACAAAAAGCATACACAAATAAATGAATTAGTGAATGTTATTTCTCTTATGGATTTTCTTTCCATCAATACTTTCGTTGTCCCACATAATTATTTTCATACTCAATTAAAAAATGAACTGACAGACACAAAAAATTGCCCTACATCTAACTGGCACCACATGACATATACCTAAGACCATTAAGTCAGACTGAGTAAGAACAATTGATTTCCACTTAAATTTCTCTCTAATCCATCTCTTATGTTATACACTTTCTTAAAATACAGACCCCATATTTTTATATTCCTTCTTTCAAAATGCAGGACAGCTTTTATAGAGTTAGTTGCCAGCCAGACATCTTGACCTGTAGATTCAACAAGTATCTGAAATACAAATATAATTATCTTCTTTTTGTAAAAATCTTGTGATCCCTATGGGATCAACGGCTCATGCCCCAAATCTCACAATCTTTTCCCACTGCTTTACCCATACCAAATGTAAAGTGTTCTATGCCTCAAATCTCTCTTGGGTCTACCTATTTTACTACGCTGAGTTCCTATTCCAAACTGTAATCTCCTTTTCATAAAAATCTTAAAACACAGATTTGCTGGTTCTCCCTGAAGACCTCTGCCATCTACTTACTCAACACAGCACCCAAACACAGAGTTCAGTCAGGGTGAAACTTTATTAACTAATGCTTATCAATTATCTTGACTCCAGTGACTATCACACCAATTTTCTCTACTTTTGAATGCATTCAGAGTTTTTTCTGTCCCTTTATTGAGCTATTTATCCTTGAAGGCCTTCACTCCTCATATATATATGGCCTTCACTATGGATAACTATAGATTATCCATCTTAGTCTCTGGCATAGACTTGTCAAAATATATTAAGACATACATTATTTGAATTCTTAATTTTTTCTTTAACGATTTTATTTATTTTATGTGTGTGAGAGTTTTGCATGCATGCATATGTACACCGTGTGTGTGCAGTGCCTGTGGAGGCCAGAAGAGGGAATCAGGCTGGAAACTGAATCCTGTTCTTCTGTAATGATCAGCAAGAACCTTTTGTTGTTGTTTTGTTTTTTGAGACAGGGTTTCTCTGTAGCTTTGGAGCTTGTCCTGAAACTTGCTCTGTAGACCAGGCTGGCCTCAAACTCAGAGATTTGCCTGTCTCTGTCTTCCAAGTGCTAGGGTTAAAGGTATGCACGATCACTACCCAGCCAGCAAGTACTCATAACTGCTGTCTACAATTAACTCTGAGCTCTTGATAGAGTGTCAAAACCTTTGTACTTCCTTATCAATAGCAGGATTAGGAAACCTGACTGTTCTGTTTGACTCGAGTTCTGGAAACATGGTACTTAAGTGAGTTAGCATCTCTTAAGTGATGAGTCTTTGTCAGCTACTGATTAGCCTGCCTCAGAGTGGGGGCTGACTACTCAGAGAGACAATAATGTGATTAGAAAATTGGGACTTTTAGTCCAGCTTCTCAAGGATGAAGGTTGAGTTGATGACCAATGACAGAATCATGCATACTCATATCATATATCTTCCATTAAAACTCTGAAGACCAGGGCTTTGGATGAGCTTGTACATGGCTAAAATCAACTTTGTACTTGGAGGCTGCCAGTATGCCAAGACAGATTCCATACTCAATGACTACACCTCACTTTATGAATGCCTTTTATCTACATTACAATAAATGGAAAACTTTTAAAAAATTCCCACTCTGGCATATTTTATAAGCAGTCCTAGAAAGTTAATCAAATCCAAGAAAAAGGAAACAGGAATATCAATTACAGCTGTCATTCAGAGCTTAGGTCACAACCAAAGACTTATAACTGATAGCTGAAGTGAAGGGCAACCTTTGGTACTGAGCCCTTTGCCTGATACAACAGTCAGACAGTATGAAAACTGAGTTAAATTAAAAGGCACCTGGCTGATTTCAGTTGGAGAACTGCTTGATAAGTAAAAGAAACATCCAAACACTGTTATCAGAAGAACTGTACAAAGTGGTATGTAATAATAGAAAATATATTTTCAGGTTGTCTTCCCCTATCTCTGTAATACAGCATGCATTTAAGAAATGCTATTAAAATCATGGAAATATCAAAAAAGGGAAATCTTCATTTGTAATTAAAGTCATAACACCCATAAGCTAAACACTAGAGACAGACAGAGGAAGTTAAGATTAAAAAACAGAATGGGTTGTGCTATATTGCACAGATTGGCCTTGAGCTCACTATATAGCTAGGGTGATCTACAATGGATCATTACTTTTGCCTTGGCCTCCTGAAAACTATGACTAATAACTATATAACACCACATCCAGCTGCTAGATGTATGTTCTTTAGCTTTGAGGCAGGATCTCACTATGCATTCACAGGCTTACCTGACTAGAACTCAGAGATAACCTATATCTGCCTTCTGAGTACTGGGATTAAAAGCATCCAAGGTCACCACATCTGGTGACATTTATTTGCTGTGTTTTGTTTTACCTTATTTAGTGTGTAACTATGAGCACCTGTGTGCCGTAGCGCACACAATGAAAGCTAGAGGACAACTTGTGTTTGAGAGAAACACATTTATAAGTGCTCAGAGGATCAAAAGCAGTTTGTCAGTGCCTTTACACGTGAAACCACCTCAACACCCTAGGTGAGATGTTCTTAATGTTAGTGAATTCCATACTACCTCTGAGCATTGTGATGACCTCAGAAATAAGAGGTAGTGGGACAGAAGTAACTTCCTATGGATGTGTCACTTTGGGTATAATAGTCTGTCAAACATTCATTCTTGTTTGCTGATAAACTTCCTTTGAGAAACATGCCCTCTCCATAATCATCAGGCTGTCACAAGCTTAACCACAACCTTACATCAAGGGTCATAATGATTCTATACATTTGTCAACAGCCATAATTCATGTATGGTGTCACATGGGTTGGGCTACACCAAGTGAGTCAAATTTGAGTAAGGTGCCTCTTGCTTTAGTCACTGCACTCTTGTCTCTCTAGACTTACAGTTTGTAGAATGGAGACGCAGAATGAATTCATATACGATGAGGAGAGGCTGAATGAGAATAAAGCTAAAAGAAAGAACAGAGACCAAGACCAGATGACATCTTTTGATCAGCTAGATCCAGCCTGGATTTCCCATGAATGTTTAGCTGCATGAGTTAATAAATTCTACAGCCTACTTACTAAAGCTCATTTAGGCTGGTTTTCCTACTCATAAGTGAAAGGATATATTTTAAGAAGAGGTCACCATTTCAGTGTACAAAATTAGATACTAGTCAGCTAGCTATGAAAGAAGAAATGTAAGCATTAAGTCTGATCAAAGTTTCTATTCTTGTTCTAATACAATATGTCTCTTGAACTTTAGTTTTCTCCATTATGAAAAAGGAATAATAACTATAACCATAAGTTTTGATGAGGAAGTCTATGAGTAAAGAATCTATATAGTATGTTTCAAAATAATTATCAACTTGTAATTTAAATATTTTTGAAGTTGTTTAAAACAAGAAAAAGGGACTAAACAAAGGGCTCAGCAGTTAAGAGCACTGACTGCTGCTCTTCCAGGACCCAGGATCAATACCTAGTATCCACAAAGTATCTAACAACCATCTGTACCTCTAGTTTCAGAGAATCTAACACTGCCTTCTGGCATCCATAAGTACTGCATGTATGTGGTACACAGACATACATACAGGCAAGAAGCCAATACACATAAAATGTATCTTAAAAGAATTATTTTAAATCAAAATATATACAAAGGGTGCCTTCTTGATGTTCATGAGACCTTGAGTTCAATTCCCAGAACATCTCCTCCCTCCCCCAAATTTATTTACTTACTTATTTTTAGGGTTGAAATATTATGTCTTCCTGGAAATAAGTTCCTCAAGAACAGAATTCTGTCTCTGTGACTCAATTATTACATATTGTCACTTACTATTTCTTGTCTCCCGAGTAACTTACCTTCAAAGTATACACTCCCATTCTACCTGGGACTTTATAGAAGATTCCTTCTTCACCTCGGGAGTTTGTGTGCAGCATTGCATTTAAGCATGCAAGAGGGGAAGTCCCGCTACAAAGCAAAGAAGGTGAAGAGGACAATGATTAGTTTATCTCTGAAGAGTCTTTGTAATTCTGACTTAATTTTTAAATCGACCAATATTCCTTTCTTTAAATATATTTTTATATAAAATAAAAATATCAATAAAGATTACGGGGGGGAATGAATGGAAAAGCCAGTCTTGAGTATCTAAAGGGGGAAAAAGTCCTATATCTAACACTTAAGTAAAAGTAAGAAAACAAAATCCATATAGAGCAGTATCAAATTCATTTTGCAAACCTATTTAAACACAAAACTTTAGAAGTATACATGAAAGTGGAATATACACGCATGCATTATGTGCTTGCACAAGTGTGCGCGCACACACACAGATTCAAATAAATATTCGTCCTCTTATATGCCGCTGCACTAAAATAAAGGTGATTTGTAAAACTGACATGGTTTCTTAAACTTCACAGGAGATCACTTTAAAACGTACTCAATAGACTTATTTTGCTTGGCTTAGGTTTACCATTATCTCAATTATTATGGTAATATTATATTATTATATTATATTATTATATTATATGGTAATATCTCATTATATTAAGTACATAACTTATTATGTAGATGCAAGAATGTATTTTCTAGCATGATGGCACACAACTATAACTCCAGAATTTAGGAGACCAAGAAAAAAGGATCACAAGTTCAATGCCACTCTCTTACTATAAAACAAACTCCTATGGGGAGGGGGGGATTTCATTTAATTAATTTCCAAGTGTCATCAAAGCTTACTGTAGTCCCAAGAAACAAACAAACCAAAAAAAAAAAAAAACCAAAAAAACAAACAAACAAAAAAAACCTGGCAATAAAATTCCCTAACAGGCACCCTTATCTTGGTTTGTCATTGCATTAAGGAAATGGGACTAATACTGAAGAGATAACTTAGCAGTTAAGAGCATGGGCTGCTCTTCCAGAGGACCTGGGTTCAATTCCCAGCACCCACACGGCAGCTCACAACTGTGTGTAACTACAGTTCCAGTGGATCCAACATGCTCACACAGACACACATGAAAGTAAAACACCAATGTACATAAAATAAAGGTAAATAATTTAAAAAAAAATAAAGGGAGAAAAGAAGGGAAGGGGAGAAAGGGAAAAGAAAATGGGGCTAGAAGGAAGAAAGGAGGGAGGGAGGGAAGAAAATAGGGCTAATGTTCTAAAGTCTAATGTTGAGAAACAAGATGGGCAGACGTAGTGCCTGTCTGCCTTTAATCCCAGAATTTGGGACCCTGAGTTCAAGGCCAGCCTGGTCTATAAAGGGACACAGAGAAAACCTGTATTGAAAAACAAAACAAACAGACAGACAAATAAATGCTTTAAATTAAGAACAATATTAAAATATAGAAAATAAAATGATAAAAATATGACTAAAATTCAGTTATCAGTCTAAGGTCAAGGCTACAGTATAAAAGAAAGTACACTAATACTTTTTCATATGGTTTGTAGGATTTTGTTTTTGTTTTTGGACAGAATCCTCATTCTATAGCACAGGTCTAAAATGGCGTGGAACTCTAGATGTAGTGCAAGCTGGCAAACTAAAGGCAATATTGCTAGCTCAATCTCTCAAACACTAGAATTACAGGTATGAGACACTATAGCTGGCATTTGGTGCTGGCAACACTTAAAGCAACGTGTTCATGTACCTAGAAAAACAGAAGTAACAAGAAAACACGTTGAAAGTTCATATGAAAAGAAGTATACAGAGTCAGGAAATGGTCTGAAGTCTTAAGTATTTTGTTTGGGGTTTTGTTTATTACAATTCTTGAGGGGCAAAACAACTTAACTGAACATTCTCAACTCATTTCTATCAGCTCTCTGCTGATTAAACCAAATCTACTACTACAGAGACCATAACCTACAGAAGTGGAGGAATTGACATTAAGAAAGGCACAGGCAAGTAGACCTCTGGATTCGAGGCCAGCCTAGTCTACAGAGTGAGTTCCAGGATAGCCAGAGCTACATAGAGAAACCCTGTCTCGAAAAACCAAAATGAAGGAAGAAGGAAAGAAAAGGCAGATAGGGGGCTGGAGAGATGGCTCAGCAAAGAGCACTGGCTATTCTTCCAGAGGACCCAGGTTCAATTCCCAGCATCCATGTGTACAGCTCACAACTGTCTGTAACTCCACATCCAGGGGATCCCAAACTATCACACAAACACACCTGCATGCAAAATACCAATGCACATAAAAAATAAATAAATCATTAAAAAAGAAAAGGGCAGAACCCTGGAGCTCACTGGCCAGTCAGTCTAGCCAAATGGAGATAATGGGAAGTGGAGTGGAGGGAAGGGCAGTAGAAAATACTTGATGTCCACCTGATGTAGGAGGGTCATCTATTTGTTACTTTCATTGGTTAATAAAGAAACTGCCTTGGCTTTTGATAGGACAGCAGCTTAGATAGGCGGAGTAGACAGAACAGAATCCTGGGAGAAAGAAGCAGAGGCAGGCAGAGACGCCATGGCTCTCCTCTCCAAGATGGACGTGGGTTAGAATCTTGCTGATAAGCCAAGACCTCGTGGTGATATACAGGTTATTAGAAATGGGTTAATTAAGATGAGAAAGTTAGCCAATAAGAGACTGGAAGTAATGGGCCAGGCAGTGTTTAAAAGAATACAGTTTTCTGTGTAATTATTTCGGGGGAAGCTAGCCGGGATCCAGGTGGGAACACAGCCCACTGCTCCTTCTACATCCACCTCTGACCACCACAAATGCACTTGCATTCACATGAACATGTACATATACTAACACCAAAACTAATTTAAAAAAAAAAAGTAAGTCACAAAATATCTTGGATATCTCTAATGGGCTTGTGTTCATTCATCCCTTTTTTTTTTTTTGAATTGCCATAATGTGGCATATCAAAACCCAGAGAGAAGGCTGCAACACAAAGGGGCTAGGATTAAAGGAATGTGTCAGGAAGCCCAGCTGAAACTGTTAAAAATACACACAACAAAACACAACTTTTTGTCCAACAGTTGGCAGAGTACTTGGCTACCATGCCTTGTGAGGCCCCTGGGTTCAATCCCCAAAACCAAGGAGGCAAAGTAAGATCCTTGCCCAATCATCTACCTACCTTTAACACAAAAGTGAGGCAAAAATATGAGTTTATGTTCAATCACCTATGCAATTTTTTTTCCTGTTTCAATGTCTATGAGACAAAGATGTCTAAGAGTTTAAACATAATGCATATGAAATACCTAACTCCCATCTTAACCAAGGTCATTTCAAATACTGGTCATTATGACACTAACTTTTAAATCTCATGATAAACAGGTCATAAAATAAAAGTAACTTTAAAAATCCTTCTTCATTACTCTAATAAGGGTCCTAACTACCTATTTACTATTTTATTACAGATGATTAGGTTGCCTAAAGGATTGTTTTGCTTGTTTTCCTTCAGACAGGGTTTCTCTGTAACTGCCCTGACTTGTCCTGGTTGGCCTTGAACTTACAGAGGTCTGCCTGCCTCAGCCTCCCAAGTGCTGGGACAAAAGGTGTGTACCACCACTGCCCAGCTGGGATGATTAAAGTTCTAACATCTGGACCAAACCCCAAATAGTGTTTGTCTTCAAACTAAGTACGAAAGGTTACACATGAGATCTTATGATTCCAGGTAAAAGGAGTGCTAACGTGAACCCAGACACTAAAACCCATGTTTGTGAAGAAAATAGATTATGGGTATAATTATATAAGAACTTAACTGGAGATAATAAAAACTCAGTAATCCCATTATATTTTATATCATTCTCCTTATTGGGTAGTTAGTGTTCATTTGGCAATGTAATACTGTATCTTAATTGTTAGTGCTGTTATAATTGCTTTCTCCTTTTTGGTTTTTTTGTTTGTTTGTTTTGTTTTTTGACACAGTATTTCTCTGAAGTTTTGGAGCCTGTCCTGGAACTAGCTCTTGCAGACCAGGCTGGTCTCAAACTCACAGAGATCCGCCAGCCTCTGCCTCCTGAGTGCTGGGATTAAAGTTGTGTGTCACCACCACCCAGCTGCTTTCTGCTTCTTTATAAAAACTAACAGAAACTGAACTGGAACTGGGCCCTCTGCAAATGTAACAAGTGCTCTTGATTGCTGAACTCTTGTCTCCAGACAGGCTTTGCTTTCTGTTTTTGTGACAGAGCTATGTAGGATGTGAATGTTGAAACTCTGAGTTTTTAAGTAGTTGTCTGACAATCATTTAGTCAATTCCTGACATTTTCTATCAGATTCTTTCTCAGAGAAGTAACTTAGAGTTACAGTAAATCTTTGATTATACTAAATGGCTTTGACTTCAAGCCTCAAAAACAAATACTAATAGAAGTGAGTATCAGGCACGTGGGGTTAAGATCAGAGAAAGTTGGGCATGGTGGCACACATCGAATTTTGAGACAGAGCTTAGTAAGACCCTGCTTTAAACAAAACAAAACAGACCAGAAGACATGAAACAGCCCAGCCCTCAAAGACAAGACCACCACGAGCACCTATAAAGTGTCTAACAGACCAAAATCAAAGAACCTGCCACAAAAGCACCACGATACATATGTAACAATATTCACACATCATACACACAAATAACTTAAAATTTAAATATTAATAAAGCTTTATTCAAAACCTGTTACCTAAAAATGAGTTATTACAAATGAACTTATCAGAGTACTAATTGAAGTTGAGAGAGGTTAATCTCAAACTGTAAGCAAAATGGCATGTCTATGACATGAAAACACAGATGTTTCTTCAAGACTTACATCAAAGTCATAACTGAAATTTAAAAGAAAAATACAACTACACTATAAAAAAGGGAATTGATATAACCAAGGATTGTCTAAAGTAACGGGCAAACACAGGAAAAACTCAATTCGTAAAGGATTCAGATTATGAATTAAAATCTGTTCTGCCTGGTTTAAAGTAATATCATTTGGGTAGACAATTTACCAATATCTTCTATCAGTCAAGCAAGCATTTCCAATCTCATAAGCAACA